TTCCAAACATTTTAAATTAGATACTCTTTTGAAGAAAATTTTCAATTTAATTATATTTTATTATTTATACAGTTTTATTTGGATATGCAGCAACAGTTATACCTCGTGCATACACATATTACATATCAACAGCTTTATTTGCTGTGTTTGGACTTAAAATGTTAAGAGAAGGTTTCAAAATGTCTCCCAATGAAGGACAAGATGAGCTTGAAGAAGTACAAGCTGATTTACGACGAAAAGACGATGAGGTAAAGATTAAGTTTTATCTATGAATAAGCAGAAAGCTTTAATTTGGCAAACAATTTAATTTTATGTGTATGTTATTTTAAAAATTAGTATGTGTTAATGAAAGTGGTGCTATACAATATTAAATGCTTGGTTTCTCAGTGTTAACCAGTTAATGTATTATACCTAAATTAAATATATACTTAGGTTAAATCGGTTATATCATACACACAATAAAAAAAAAAAATATTATCAACATTTACATAAAGTAATTTTAATTAAMTAATAAAAAATAACATAGAATGTACTTTGTTCTATAGCTAGTAGGCTCGTTAGTAGGTTTTGAGTATACTTAGTCATTGAGTAGGTCACTGTAATATATGTGTTAAATTTGAACTCAATGATGAATCACTGTATACAGAAAACAATTCTGTGCTTAGATAGTCATGTCAGCCTATATTTCTATATATTTTCTATAAAAAGAAGGTAGTTTATTCTAATTTTTGCTAAAAAAATAATTASTAACCCTAAAGTCAGGATTGTCATATTATATATTAAGATCATAGTCAYCTGTCTTTTAATCACCATCAATAATGGAAAAACAATATAAATAGTAAAATTAACTTACCATGTATGATATTATTATTTCAATGTTCTTAACTTCATATAATTATTATGTTGATACCGGCATATCGCATGCGGTTTAATGGTGTGAATAATATGTTCATGGTACTTATATGCATTGCTAAAATCTAAATATTTTGTAAATGTCACTATACTCTGTTCAAAATAATAAACGTCTGCGGTGGCCAGCTATTATGCATAGGTGTGGATTAACTACATGTACAAGCAATAGATGTGACCGGGCCGTCGGACACGAAAATTGGTTGCCGCCGCGGACGTTTTTTTATTTTGAACATATTATATATTTGCGTGTAGTTAATAATGATTATGTAAATAAATCCCTACGGATAATATTAATTGTTGAGTTTTAAAAAATTACCTAAAATTGTAATTTTTTGTTTCAATTTTGTCATGAATATACTAATATAAATATTTGGTAAACATTTCAAGTTTATGATTATTGTTTGTTAAATTTAAAAAAATTTCTACTTTATTGAGTGATTGGATTTTGTTCCGCTAAATTTCTACATTTTCCTACTAGATCCAATGTGCTATAAATCACCCTCTGAGGGAATTGGAGATTTAAAAAATTGTGTAAAAAATAAACTACTCAATTAAACGTTTTTACAATCAAGCAATTAAAAAACAATTAATCTACCTATTGAAATGTTAAGACTAAAAGATAATTTAATAAGTCAGTTTACTTATACATTTACCTTAATATATATTATGTATGAGTAAATGTTAAACAAAAATACCCAAACTTTAGTAAAACACCGATTTATTTTAATAAGTGTTTCCCAGAACAAAATAATTTAAAAAGAAGTTATAGGATATTGTATTAACTACCAGATTTCTTAGAATGATTATCATAATATTTTTTTTTTCTTTAAAGAATTATAAACTATATTCAACACAGGTATAGATTATTATATAYATATGACATTTTAAAAATTTAAATCAAACTATATACACATCAGTAAAAATAAAAACAACAACTGTTAATAGTACTTTTTTAGTGAACCATTTACCTATTGTAGTTAATTTTGTAATACAATTCTTAATAATCATACTATTAATCTTCTTAGCTTAATATAGGAATACCTATAACTAGTTATTATAAATTATTTAGAGTCTTTAAAAAATTGACAGATTGACCTATTTCAGATAATTATTAAAAAAATGTATTTGGAAACACTTAAAAATTATTAGTCTAGTATCAAATCAGTAGCACCTTTTTTGTGGTACCACAGTCCAAAGCGGTAGGTATGTTAAAATTTAACTTGAAATTGTTTATTTGGTATTCAAAATTAGCAAATGTAATTATAACAAACACAATTTTAACACAATTATTTAAAATTAAATTTAAATTAAAGTACTTTATTTTGTGTATGATCTATCCATATCCGAAACCTATACGCCATCTTACTTTTTTATTATCTATTAATGRTTATTGTTCTCTTTAAAAATTTCATTAATTTATGGCAATTAGTTGGATGATAATAAAAATTAATTTCTTCTGTCCAATTAATCTATTATTTTAATAACTAATAGTATTTACATTCCTTAAAAAAA